GTGCATGCATAAGTGATCTATTGAGTAAAAGTGTACTTCGCGCAARACCAATTCAATTTTCACAAAAAATTAACTGTATTACTTAACTCAGACTGACCTTAAACTATAGACTTCTTGAAAAGCACATACAAATATATGTATGTATAATACATACACATGCACTTMCATATATACTCATGYGCAAACMTAATCGTTTCTTCTTTCATTTTTTACTTAGCACAATTTGAAGCTTAGCTTTAGCACAAATTGGAAACCCATTTTAAAAATCGTATGCATATATAGTATATGTATGTGTACCATATCTACAAAAATGTATCAAAACTAAGCCCAGACCGTTAATAGATATTCATCTGCATATGTATGTACATTGAAAKATACCTTTCTTATGTCTAAAATACTTATACATATGTTCATGCACACCCAGTACTACAGCTATTAAATTATTTACTTGACTTTCGTATTGACCCAAGTGTAATTATTAATAATTGCAATTAAGCCTCATGTGTATGGAGCGAAACTGTGGCAAACGCAGGCGTGAGTTTTTARTTAACTGACAAAGTTTCTTGAAAAATGCCTCGCCTCTAGCATTTTTACATACATATGTATATAGATCGTACATATATATGTAGTCTGCACAAAATTGAAAAATCGCATAATTTCCCGCTAATTTAATTGAAAGTTCAAGTTCTCTGGATATCCGTAAATAGTTTAAATGTGAACAATTCAAGAATAAATTAATGTATTTTATACATATAAATTGTGTATAGAATATATGTACATATGTATAAATCAACATGTGGTAAATTGTTAATCACAATCTCATTAATCATCCACTCATATTTAATTATTTTAATATTGCATGATTTTCTTTGTTAGCATAAAGAAATTGTAGAATTTTTCATATGTATATGTATGTACAGAAATTATACTTTATCAAAAAACTATTCTACTTATACCTGGAAGCACCGTTTTTAAAAAACGGCAAGTCGCATAATTTTTTAAACGTCTTAATATCAGCTTTATGACTTTAAAATCATGCAAATTTGTAGAAAAAATTTAATAATTTCGTTCTGAAAATTCCAATCTACGTATTTTTATATTTTCCAAAGAGAATTTGTCACGCTTAGAGAAGCTTCAAACTGTAAATTGTCGCCACAAAGTCAATAAGGTGTATTTGCATGCAAAGCTAATAAAAAAATTGTACTTGCATTTTCAGTCACCGAATACAATATAACTTATTATTTTCTCATATAAACGTACTCTAAGGCAATAATATTCTAATAGTTACTTATATAATATATACGTACATATACATATGTACATAAATATGAATTCTATTACGTCTCTATAGAGTAGTGAAATAATATGCGTTATTTATAAAACGATGACGTTTAGCGTTGTACTGAAAGTAAACTTGTTTTCAAATGTTGCTTCTAAGCCATCTTTGTGGCTTATATATGTACATATGTGTTTTCTACACCTTACATTTGTTTCAAGCTCAATTTACAAAATTTTTGAAAACCAGTTATTCAGAATTTGACATAAATATGTACAAACATACATAAATACTTCTTTATATGTGTTAAAAATATGAGTACATATATAAAAAAATCTATGCTCTTGCTGAACCCCTTTTATGTATGTAAATACATACATACATATATGCATGATAATATGTATATAAACCGGTTCATAGAACTTATATTTGCGCTTTGCAGTTAAAATTTTTCTACACTCTTAATTGTTTTCAAATTCAACTGGCTTAGAGAATTGATTTTGCATTCACATAAATATTAATATATGTACATATCTCAACAAATACCCAAGTATTACTAACACATACATACATGCTCATGCCTGCGCTATGTACAAACATATAACAATTAATTTAAAAAATTTTTGTTTACCAAGTTATGACTTATTATAAAGAGATTGTACAATTCGAGAAGTATACTTAAATCTGTGTTACCATTGTAAACATATTTACTTATGTACATACATACATATTTATGTGTATGTATAAGAAAAAAGCTCCCATAAATTCTATACACAATTAAAATCTTTGTCAAGTTTTACATTGACATTGACACAGAATCGCCTTTAATTCAAACACAAAAAGAATGCTTGGATTATATTCTTAATAAAGTTAGATTTTAATCTAATAAGAAGACAACATCCAGGTAAAAGTCCATTAAAAACACGATATATGTACTTATACGAAGCTTTAAATATACATAAATTAAAAAAGACATATCGATTTTTTTTTTTAAAGTGAAGTAGAAATTAAAAGGCGCAACCTTCCAAATAAATATGATAATTGGTCAGGTTCGTGCATCCAAATTCAGTGTCTAAGCTAACCAGCTAAAAATATAACTGAATAATATAAATTATGTTAAATCGAGAAATTGATGATCTCACAATTTTGCAAACATTTTGTGCGCTAAAAARTATTATATTATTACAATAAGTCGACTGCAACTTGCATATTTCTAAAAAAAATATTTAAATTTAGTATAAAAAATAAAATGTTAATATTAGTCTGCCTATATTTTATATACCAGTCAGTCTGTGTGTAGAGATTGAAGTTATAAAAAAACTTACCGAACATAGCAAATTAAACAAGAACAAAAGGTATTTAACCAAAGAGATGCCACAACTCATTGTGCGAACTTTTAAGTTATAGTTAAAGCTGCAGAAGAAAACAACGAAATACGAATAATAATAAAAAGACCATAATTTCAATAATAATTTCTACCGTTTTACAAACAGTATTTATTGACATTTAAGTGGCGCCAGATTGTGATTGGAGCTTTGTATATACAATGTCAAAAATTAAAATTCATTAAACAAAAATTGCAAAACAAATGCAAGYATTCATAAAAGTAGGCACTTAAAATATCGAAGTACTAAACACGTATTGTTTTCTAAGCAGAAGCACGCAATGAAAATATCATAAAAGATATATATATATTCCTCACAGAGCTTGAAATCAAGTAAGATCCAAACGCAGTTTACCACACAGCAAACGTTGGCTAATATTTACGGCTCCTTAGCGTACTAGTTCCGGCAGTAAAGACTTTCGCGAAAATATTTTAGCCTTTGCATCAAGCAGCATACTCCACAGTGATGGATGTTTAGCTAACCAATACACCCAGGATTGTTTTGTCAATGCGCTCGCTTCCACTTTCTTTAGATGATCATAATATTTGGCATTACGCTTCACAGCGGCAGCCTCATCGGGCGCAAAGCGTGCAAAACATAATTTCAATAAAGTTTCGGATATGTCGATTAGACGTCCACCTTTGGGCGGATGCACTAAACACAGTTGACTCACAACAAAATCATCACTTTTACTTTTTGCCAGTGGTAAGAAGGTAGCACGACGACCAACTATGCATGATTGCAACCAAGATATGCCATTACCATTTACTTTAATGCCGGGCAACTTAACGGGCAATACTCTATCTTTGCTGGCGAATATCGGTATGAGCGGTCTGTGGCTGATAAGCAATATGGTATCCTGATCTTTCATTTTTACATCACGTATTAGTCCAGTATGCATAATACGTTCATTTATCAACTTATCTGGGATGTGCGAAGGTTTTTTGAAAGGACGCACCAAATATGCCGGTTTGCGTTTAATATATGCAATCAGTAGCATTAGACCTGATGTACCATATATAGCAGCTTGCGTGCCAATTGTGTCCTGCTCCATATAATTGCATAAACCTTCGTATTTGGAAACTATATATGATGTTAAACTGTTTGTCGCCATTTTAAGGACCAGTAAAACTTAATAACTTCTTTATGAATTTGTGGTTGAAAAATGGACTTGCCAGCTGTTGACGTCCAGACTTGCTGCAGTGCTGTGTTTAATGTAGCTTCTGCCTTGTTTTGATTTCCAGAGCTGTGTTTAATACAAATTTTATTTAGTACGCTGGCGGTGTTGTTGCTTGAAATTACTTTTTGATTATCACTTTCGGTACGTACGCAAATATATTCGACTTCGATACGGTATGATACGAAGTTATCGTTTAACTCCCACGTAATCGTTTTGTTTATATMTGTATGTRTGTGTGATTATTGCCTAAAATGCCAAAAGTGTTAATTAAACACTATACAACATATAAATCGATTTTGAATTTAAATTATTAGCATAAACCAAATCTAATTTAAATGTTGTGTAACTTTTTCATTTCAAATTATCGATGACATCATATAATTTTTGCGTACACTTTAAGGCCTTCTCGACAATATTATTGTTATATTCAAACGTATTTTTGTGGCGGTGCGTATTTTGAATTTCATTCAAAACAAATTAAGCTCGTTCAAAATCGTATTTTTTCGTAAATTTTTSAATTGCTACTAAATCTCAGCGAACACAAACCAGATGACTGAATCGAAATTGTAGAAACACCTCGTCGTTTCGTCGTTCGTTGATCACAATATTGCTTCCAACACATTCGAAGGTAGAGTACGAGCTGTACCATAAAAACAAGACACAGCAGYATTGGATCACCATGATAAAAACAAACGCATCACCCAAAGCGGGACAAATTTTCTCATCTCTTCTCTTTCACAACATTGCTACACATGTTTTTTTGTATTTTACTTTAAGTTGCCTACTATTTCATTTATATCTTTTTATTTTTAAATTTGTTTCTTGTTTTGCTTTATATTTTCGTAATAAGAAAATTTTTTATTTAGACATTTAAATAGTATAGCCACCCCTCACAATTACAGTTCAATATATTCACGAAAACACAGAATAACGACGTACCTATGAAAGCGAATTTAAAAAATTTCGAATTTCGTTCAACAGGAACTTTGTATATTTCCGTTAGTACAGTACTTTTATTGAATTAAAATTTTTATCCGCATCGGTTGTTCACCAGTTCGATCGTTATTTTAGACTAAAATCTCCAAGTACTGTGGATTTGTAGTGATGCTCCAATACGCGAACGGTGACAACGTCGTAGTCAGTTAGTGAGTCAACCAAGCAGCGAAACAGCAAAACAGCCAGCTAACAGAGGTWGCCGAATAAAAGCCAAGCGAACAGGCAAGCAGCCGCCTCTGAGTTGAGTACTCGCAGCAGCTCAGCTGTCTGATTTCGTGCCAAAACAATCGCCTGTTACTTTTGTTGTTGTTACTGATTGCCTATTCGGCATTAGCACATAATGTTAATATAGTAAATTATATTAKTCCATGTTTGTTTTTGCTTTTATTGCTGTTATGAGTTTGTCTTTGACACACCATAATTCGTACAACTATACGCACAATAATAAATCATCTCTACGTTTGCTGATTCCTCTTCTATTTCCATTGTGGCTRCGTGGAAAAAATATTTGTAAATGAAAAATTGTTACATTATATCATGCTATTGTTGTAATTTGTATGAAAAACTGTAGATATTGGTTTAGGCGATTGTGGGCTGAAATAGCTTTAAATAGTCTATATTGCCAGTAATTAAAACGATCGTTTGACTCATAAAAATAAAAATATTTTTCGCATCCCATTCATTAATACACATGTTTCAATACTATTAAATGTTTTTTATGTACACATATGTATATGTACATATGTACATCATAATCAAAATAAGTAAGTAAACCTATGTTCATTTATGTATGTACATATATACATACATATGTATATGTGACTGCATATGTTTATAGTAGTTTTTGCGCAAAGTTAGTAAAATTCAAAAAAAAAAAAAAAATATCGAACTCCTTGTAAAGTATTATTATAGATGATCTACTTGACGAGATATCTTTACGAAATTTGGCATAGATTATTTTCCAAAATAACGGTCTAAGTTCCAAACATATTATATAGTATATAGCCATCATACATACTAACCGATCAAAATCACAATAAAGATATCTTTATACCCTCTTATGCTATAAGAAATGCTTCTATGTATAATTATTCATCAAATTGGTATGTAAGTGCATATAAATTTATATAAATTCAGTTTACAAATATAAACCACAAACAACAACAAACCTTTGAACATATTTTTCATAAAGAACCATCTGGCAATGRCATAACCCAAAAATTATTTGAGAGTAAATAACAACTTTTTATTCTAATACATTTATTTTATTCTAAAACTGCACAAACATTTTTCATTGTGTTGTTGCCATCAGCAATGTTAGATTGCATGCGTTCACCTTGAGCATAATGATTCTGTAAAGTTGAAAAGCTTTACTGCATGCACTAATGCTGATCTCTTCGATCTGGGTGAAGGACAATTTTATTGCTTTTTTTGTAGATTGCCTATAAATATGTATTTGKATGTATATATGCATATATGTACATATGTGCATACATAAGTTATTTACAGCAAAGAATCGAATACTTTGATTAATAACGGAGACCTGCAATACCAGCGAGAATCTATATGGATTTGCGGTTATAGCGAATATCTTTATATGTACATATGTATGTATGTATATAACTATTTAGGAAGCGTTTTTGTTTGGCGCTGGAAAATGTTATAAAAATTAGTAGTACTGCTATCAAGAGATAGGTGCTTTCAAAAGTAATATTTCCAGTATACATATATTAAATTCTCACAAAATTTGRTTCATATGATGTGACTTCGTTAGGGTAACATTATATCTCGCTAGAACGGCAAGCTCTATTAATAAGAGTTACAATTCACAAATTGCTTAAAAAGTGTTGGTAAGAGCTGGCACGTGGCGTCATGTAGATTTCAGAGTACACAAGCAAATAAAATATTATAATTTAAAATTTCACGGCGAGAAAAGCAATACATTTTTATTAAAGGACGACCAAGAAAATGTGGACTGTTCGGTACAGGTAGAAATGGGTTGTCTCACAAATTCAATACCCTTCAAGCCATTTCAAAAATACCACTGCTCCCTTTTATTTAATAAAAATAATTCTTAAATTTTTTTAGAATCAAAATATTTATTTACAGTCGTATTACATATATACATTTTTTTGTTCGCGCTGATAGCACATCTTATTTTTCTTGAATGCATTTAATTTACAGCCATCGGAGCTACGAAATCAAGGCCCATAAGAAGGTGAAAAGGTTATCTTTTGCCTTTGCAAATAATTAATACCATTATGGCAATTAAAATTTTGAATTGATAAGTATATTTAAGAGTACTTATGTACATACCATATATTTTTAATATTTAAATATACATATAGATACATATGTATTATATATATTAGTGTGGTAAAAATATATTTTTGTAAACAAATATAAAAAATATAAAAATTTGCATCTGCGAAATCTGCATATGTGTGTATTTATGTATGTATGTATGCGCACGTGTGGTTAAAATATGTATACGAAATCTTTAAATATAATGGAAAACATAAAAATAGAAGCTCGTTTATAAGTGAAAGTGTCACAAAAATCACACAAATATACGAACAAATAAATGTACCTGCATAATACATATATAACCACATACATACATACAAGATCATATAAATATGTGTATATAATTTAAAGCATACTAAGTTAAAATACGCCACCACGCCCGCATAAGCAACATTTTGGTTAGCTTTGAACTCGTTGATAAATACTTACATATGTATGTATATATTCAGATATATGCAATAACAACGCCAAACCACTTTTTATTTCTAAAAAATGCATTKTGCAGTTTTCGCTTTTGTTTTGATTATTTTTCCAGTCGCGCAACGGTTGTTAACTCGCATATTGTTGTTATTTGTTGTGCCCAGTGTGCTGCTGACTGACTGTGACCGATTGCATAAAATGAAAACAAATGCAMACGTTCGATCGTACGCCAAGTAAAATATCCAATAAACCTGTCTTTATAGCATACATGTACATACATACATACATCTGTGTTTATTTACATAGGTATATAAGCAATTTGCAGTGTGTACGTGGCTTTGTGACGGAAAAGCTGCTTACACCGGAAAAGCGCGCCACAACAACTTCAAGCTTATTTACACATATACAAGTCGACATTGGTATGTRTGTATGTATGTGTGTACAAGCAAATAAAATTATATATCTACATTTTTTAAGTTTGTAAATATGTATGTATGTGCATGTAGTTAAGTAAATACGTGCTTTTTGTAATGCGCTTAGAAATCATGAGTTTGTCGTTGTTTAAAATTTGTTGCTTTTCGGTCAACTCTTATAACCGGTTTTTAATTATTATTGTTTCTTGGTCGCTCCCACAATGAGATCAAAGACAAATGACTTAAAAAGTGAGTTTTACATGAGAAATCTCAACTGCATGCTCACAAATCGATTTTGAGGCCTTAATTTACCTTTATTTACTTAATCTGTTCATTGTTCTTTATTGCATTAACTTTAATACACTTTACAGATGAAGATACTATAAAAATATAGTATATATAAAAGATCAGCGTAACTAGATGAGCCGATTACTCAAGTCCGACCACCGCCTCTGACCGTCTGAGTATACGTTAGTTTCCCTCAGTTTTTGAGTTAGCGATCTACTATTTTGCTCTTTTTTCGGAACCCTCGACATCGAACCAATAATACCGTCTATAATTAATATTAATAGACGGTATTAATAGACGAATATTAATAGACGGTAATTAATACCGTCTGAGTATACGTTAGTTTCCCTCAGTTTTTGAGTTAGCGATCTACTATTTTGCTCTTTTTTCGGAACCCTCGACATCGAACCAATAGAGCTGCCATACAAAATGAACGATCTAAATCAAGACAACAAGATACATACATACAAATATGTATTTCCGAAATTCGGCATTGGTTATTAGCTAAGGTAGCTGTAGAATCTTCGAACAAATTGCTTATATCGAACTAGCGTTGAGTTGTTGTAAAAAGTGATCTATCAAAACTAAGAAAAAAAACCTGTGTATACCCTTTTATGCCTTAAGAATACTATGAAGAAATAATATAAGAATAAGGTATTATAGCTTCGATGCAGACAAAGTTTAAGTTCTTTCTTGGTCTTAATTGAAATATTTTTTTTCTTTCTTCGTTCTTGAGCTGATGAAACTCCGAGTCCATTCCATTCCTATCTAAAGGAAAATTATAGTGTTTAAGAAAGTCGCACATTACAAAAAYACTTTGAAATGGGTGACTTATAATCCAATCTCACAAAAAATGCATAGCTTAGTTTAARGAGAGGCACAAAAATTACTAACCTCTCCTCAGTGAAAATTTATTGGTGATCCCGAAATGCTATTAAAATCCGCTTTGAACCATCCAATCACCGAATTGTCTAAAAATRAATAATTAGATCTGTATAAGTAGAAAAGCGTACCTTTCTGTCTTTGGAGAAGGCTGTTTAGCTATGGCGCTTGAATATCTATCGTCTCTAAATCTATAAAATTATTTCACCAATATTTTTACTGTATGAACCTCTCTKTATTTATTTAATGTATTTTTACTGATTTAAATACCTAGTAGGTAGTACCTACCTCCAAAATATATCCCAACCCGAATTAAATAATAAATAGATTTTTTTTTTAATACCGAGAAAATTTGTAAGTGAATTCTTAATCTTAACAGATCAATTGAAAAGTCCACGGCCTGACGCATATGTAGATGACAGTACTAGAACTAAAGTCCTATTTTAGTCGTAACCTTCAAAAGGTGCGTATATAAATTTGACAGCTGTCAGATCATTAGTTTGTGAATTATACCATTTTGAGTGAAGCAACTGGATTGATGTCGATTTTCCGGTTGATGATACGTAGTAGTGTTTGCAGCTGTTGAAGCGTAATAAGTTTTTGCGTCGATATATAACATGACTCGATCATTTCGCTCCGAAATCCAATTAACAGACATCGGAGTGGACTATGGTTATGGTGTCTGYATTTTGGGGGGACCTTGAAAAAGGAAGGACCAGCGACTATAAAATAGCGTTATTGGATCGTTTTAACGACGAAATCGCCACAAAACGGCCTCATTTAAAAAAAGAGAGTGATGTTTCACCAAAACAATGCACCGTGTCGCAATTTAGTGAAAAATTCGCATTCACCGTATTCTCCAGACCTGGCCCCCAGCGAATATTTTCTGTTTTCAGAGAGGTGATACCCGAAACTGAAGCCTATTTTAAAGTAAATGACAAATTGTACTATAAAAATAATATCGAAAAGTTGGAAGGTTACTATAATCAGTAATTCATCGCTGAAGTATACTATGTTTAATAAAAAAATGAAATTTTCCCAAAAAAGTCTATTTTACTATGGTAGGTCGGGAGCTCTTCAATGGTTATAATCAAAACATATTTTTAGAAACTACTATTTTTACTTAGTAACAAAACGGCACTGTCTGTGGGCGCTCAATCAAAACTGAGCACCGGTTTGCTTCTTTTTGGAACTATTCATTAAGAAATCCAATATAATATACGCTAGAGAACTTATACCCTAATGTATTCAAAAATGTTTGTGTGCTCTGCTTCGTCTGCTTGCAAATACTTACATATGTTTATGGAAAACGTGTTTATTTCAGCATTTTATAGTTGAAACGTGTTCTCTACCAAGTACCGCCTTAAGTTTCTCTTGTGGAATTGGAATTGGTCAGTGAACTTCTGTAGTCAGCACTGCGTATACGTGACATGGAAATTTAGAATATACTACCATATACATATGTATGCATGCATATATCAGGTCTTTATATCAAGGGGTCGTTGAGAATTAGTTTGCTTATATAAATACATACATATAAATGAATGAAATTCCTTATTAATAAAAATTGCAAACGTGGAAGCATTTAATTTATTCTTATCACAAATTTTTTGATTTAAATTTATAGTTCAACATAACCAAAATCCAACGGAAGGAGGACAACGAAATATGTTAGTTAATAACTTGTACATTTTAAAGTTTGTTTCGCAAAATTTTGATATTCAAAACACATGCTATAAAACAGAATATGGACATGGTATGTATGTATGGCATTTTATAGTCTGAGCAGTGTACATTAGTTTGACACGAAGTTTACAACACCCAGAACGAAACTTCGGAGACGCTTTGAAGTATATACATACATACTTGTATATAAATGATCATTGTAACAACCTGTATCGTCTAMTCATCTCCGTGTCGTTTTCGTGAGATATTTAAATGAAATTTAGCACACGTCCCTTCACACCAAGCAGCTGCTAATTTGTCGATATAGGACCAATATAGCATATAGCTGTCATACAAACCAAACGATCAATCATGTTCTCGAATGAAAATTTTTTGTATTTAAATTTTAGTATATATTATTGTCTAGGGCAACCCTACACAAACAAATTGTTAAAATCGGATCACTATCGCATATGTCATACAAAGTTTTATACCTTTTTTATGTTTTAAGAAATGCACCTGTGGAGGATTTSAATGCTTATGTGCARCTGAAGTTAGGGTTTTTTTTGTTTCAACACATTTAAGTGTTTAATTTGCCAGCAAGTCATTAACGATTGTATACTGTATGAATCATCTGCCGACTTTTCGTCTACACTTTATGCATTTACAGCTTTACATTTAAGGTTTACGTCAAGACAAGTTCAATGTTAAATTGATTGAAATATTCTCTGAGCAAACAGTTGTATGCATATATGTAAATACATAGAATTAATGAGCTAAAAAAACGTTTTTTTTTTTAAGACGGTCCGTTATATAAAAATATTCATAYGTATGTATATACATGTATTTTGTGATTAAATTCCTCACTAACTGGCATTCTCTTCACTTTATGGCTGCAATGCAATTTGACTGAAGTATATCATTTTGAAAAAAAATCACAAATACTTTTCATTTTTGCAAGTTTATGTATATGTACTCATATATATGTACATATGTAGTTTTATTCATCTTGTGTTTCAAATAATCTTTTGAATATTATAAAAATTGTTACATTTACTTGTACACTTATGCATAACTAAGATTTACTTATTTTAAGCGTAGTGTTAATCATTTAGTACATACGTCTGGTGTAATTTATTTGTTGTTGTGGTGGCTGTCCCGGTTGGCCTTGCATTATTTGCGGTTGACGCGCCATATGCTCATGTGCGGCAGCAGCACCACGGCCAGTTGCATAGCCCTGAGTTATACTTGACCCTGATTTGGGATTCTAACAATGGCAAAATATATATACATATATATTTAAATTTAAATCAACATTTTTTACTAAAATAAAGTTGTAAATTGTAATAACTAACCTGCCCTGGATTGCTACTAATTTGCATAATGTTGGGATGCAGCGTCATACCAGGCATCATTGGTGTGTAGACAACACCCTCTGGCAATTGATGTGGTGGTCCATGACTTGGTGGTCCGTCGTGCTTTACATCAGGATGATAACGATCATTGATTTTCTCCATTGTAACTTGTGGTTTTTGCGATTGCACACCTGGCGGTACAGATGAAACCGGTCCTGACTGTGATATGGGTGGTGCATCCAAACTAATATGATAGACTTGTGCTGGTTTCGATGGTGCCTGATCTGATTTTGACACAGGTGCAGAAGGTGCTGACTGCAGATCTAGATGGAAGCCCTGACGTATTGGTARGCCATATGGGTATATTATAGCTGGACCTCGTCCATCTGGTTGTGGTGGTGGTGCATTACCTGTTGCGGGATAGAATAATGCCCCTGGTCCTTGATACTGTGCAGGTGGTTCTAAATATTTTCAAAAAAAAAATGTATAGTTAAGAAAAATTATTTAAATAAAATAAATTCTTACTACTCCATGCAACTCGGGAATATTCAGCGCCACGACGACCATCATCGATTTCTGCAAAGTAAAAATGTTGTTATATTTTGTAATAAATTTCTCTTATTACCATTTTATTGGTTTTAACAAAGACTCTTTTATTTTTTGCACTTGCWTTAATATCAGCACTATCAAAATATGATTTACTATTATTTTAAACGAAGGAAATTTACTTACTCGGTTGAGGATAGGCGGCATTTTTATAGTAAGTTTGGTGCGACGGAGGTGATGGACTTCGCGTCCGTTTGACCGGTTGATTTGCTACAGGCTGTTAAAAAGTTTAGTAAAATACCATATTAACAATTAGTTTGGAGATATTTCAGTACCTTGGGTATAATGGGTATTGGGTGGTGCTGCATACGAACGGGTGGTATAAAAACTTGTGGTGGGGGCGGTGCAACATTTACTTGTTGTGCTTGCAAGGCTTGCATTGCGAATAATTCGTTATCTTTTTGTTGTTTTTTACGGTTTTCATCTTCGTTTAATACTTTCTTTAACTGTAAAAATAACTGTTGCTTCTGATTATGCAAATCCTTAATTTGTTGGTCAAGTTTGGCAATTTTGTCACGTGTATCTTCAAGTGAGACATCATTTTGATGATCAAGTTCATCACGCTCCTTTCGCAGACGTTCCTCTTCTTCTTTTGCATCATATTCTACAAAATAAATGAGAGTTTCATAAATCCATCATTTTAAATCAAAATACTTTAAGCAGACACTTACCTTCTTTTTTACGTTGTCGTTCCTTAAGGACAAATGCCTTGAGCGCTGATCTGAGGCGCTCCTCCCTTTCAGCCTTGGCGGCAGCCGCGTTATTATTATTATTGCTATTATTAACAGCTGAGGCCGAAGCAGATGGCATTTTAGAATTAAATTTCTTCTCTGTCATCTTCTCGTCCTTCTTACGGTTATATTTATTAAATAAACCTATTTTTAAAATTATTCATAAAAACCGCAAATAAAAAATATTTTCGTTTTCGATGGAAAACGCAGATCAGCTGGTCCCTGCCAAGCTGCCCAACGGTATAAAACAAATTGGCCAGACTTAGCATTTTTCGGAATAAATAAATAGTTCTGACCGAAAAATCGGGATATAAAAATAATAAGAAACCACAATATATATAATACAAATATAATTATGAATAATTATTTATCAAACTGATTTATTCAAATTTATGCACATATTATAAAGAAATTACGTTTTTAGCTAAAATTTATGAACGTTACGCACAATTTTTTTTTTCGAAAAATAGGCAGCACTTGCTGTTGAAGCAATGCTGTTTCTTTAACTTATTCAACAGAATTAATTTTTTAGAATATTATATAGATTTCTTTTCTATGTATCTTATAATAACATAGTTATGATTATACATTGGAATTATTAAAATTAAACGATTAGTACTAAATTTTTGTTTAATGTTAATCATATAAAATCAAGTGATGCGTATGAATTTCGGCGCCGTCCCAAATAAAAGATTAAGGCAACACTGCTCTTAGGTATTTTGGCCAGAGAAAAAGAGGGAGACAAATCAATGTTCTATCGTTTGTGTTGCAGGAAAGAAGTGGAAATAGCTGGTGTTTAATGTGCATGACCATTTATGTATTTATTAAATTAAAATACAATAAGTTAATAAAAAACTGTAAAATCTAAGCATAAAGTAAATGTGATACAAAAGGAGTGATATTCGATAAAGAGTAAGCGATTTAATTGTGAATAAAATATCTTACATAGTTGTTTTCTGTCGGCTAGCGAATAAACTCRTAGTTGCATGGGACAAAAGTCGTGTAATAAACAAAAACAAAAATAAATGTTTCAACAAAATAAAATTAATTTAAAATCATAGCGCAAATTGAAATACTTTTTTTTTTATCAATATCGTGACCAATAAGAAAGCCAACGGAAGGCATATTTGTGTGTATATTGCCAGACCCGCAGCGGCAAGCAAAGGAGTAACACCAAATAGCAAAACATCAACCAGGAAAGCAACCGGACAAATAACATGGCGAGTAAGTATTGCAGCAAGTAAAGAATTTTTAGAATGCATTTTCATAAATTTCAACATAATTGGAAATATTTACYAGCGTCTAGCTTGCCTAGCTATTAGTGATGTTTGCCAGATAACTTCATGAATAGCTTGAACATAAATGATTATGTGAAAGAACGGATATAATTGACTGTAGAGACTGCGCCTGCTGCAGTTGTGTTTATCTTACACAAAATAAACAAAAGCAAATTTCAAATGGTTGCTTCAATGAGTTTTTTATACTCACCAGTCCATTATATATCATATGTAGCTACATCTATATACAGCATTCAGGAGCATTTGTACTTCATTGCTAGTTGAATTATGTTTATTTACTTTAGCCGTATTTATTTTTTTGAAGTACCTTTTGCTTCTTTTGCTGCTGCATTTGTAGGCAACAGTAATATAATTACACACTTTCACACATATTTCAAATAAGAGCATGTGCTCCGGTTCCGTCAGGTGTCCCAAGTGCTGCTAATCTTGGCATAAATTGCATTAATTACAGTATATCTGCATTTGCGCTTTTTTACTCTGGTGTGAAAAATCAATATTTACCACTGTTTATCCTCTTATCTCCGTTGTAAACGTGAACGCATATTGTACAAGTGCTGCAATTTTCCTATCTAACCCATTGTTATCATTCCCTTACACCGCGCACGATAAATCCAACGCACAATAAGTCGTGCTCATTAAGCAAATGTAGTTCATTTGTGAAAGCATAATGTAACATTTTTAGGTGAGTAGTTTTAGCCTTTATTTTTGAAGATTTATTAATACGTTTAAAGAATATTCTGAATAATTTTGAAATAATCCAAAGAAAATTATAAAATTACATTTGCATATGACATATGAAATTTTGAGAATATAAAAAATAGTAATCAGCAGGTTAAGTTGGTTGCGTTGATATACATAAAATCCATGAGTAAGTTCATATGTTGAAGTGGTTTCTTCCTTTATAGACTGATTATCTGCCTCGAATGTGATTGACACATTCTCCCACAATTGTTTCTGTGCTAAGGGGAAATTGTGATATATTCAATCTCTATCCCGTTTGAAATTTGTTTCCAAATTTACGTCAAATAGAGTATGACTACGTATTCTGCTTGTAGCGAGGTTTTAAATTAACGGCATCTTAACCGTTTCTAGTGTTATAGTGTAAAATATTTGATTATATAATATAAATTTTTTCTTAAATACGGTTACATACCATCGTTGAAATATCGCTATATTATAAGTACTGGAATTTGATCACATCTTTCTCTTAGTACAATTATGTCGCAAAAAGAGTCGTCAGTGATACGTTTACCAACTAAAAAATATACTTCCGGCTTCTTAAAATGCATGACAAGTAATAAATGATGTACGTTTGCGTTTTGGAATTTTGAAGTCAAACTATTACAAAGAAAATATAATAAAGAAAGTTTTTTGTTTGCGTTGTAAAAATGGCTTTCAAAGTTAAGTGCTGTAAAAAGAATTATTAAAAACGGACAAATTATCGTTTAGCCGAATTATGTTATGTTATAAAGTTAATATAGGTAAATATGTACATATGTATGTACATAAGTTTGAATTTCATGCATACTTAATGTGTTTGGTCGATATTTGTCACTCCATTTTCTGCAAATATTTGCACATTTTTATGTTAGTTTCTATTAGTCCATTAGTTCTTATTTTTTTGTACAATTTGAAGTTATTGCATTTCTAGATGCATTTCTTATTCCCCGAAATTACTTCAGGGAAATTGTGTGCCTCTAAAACAACAACGACAATAATTCTTACTACACTTTGCGAACTTTTGATCAAATAAATAAGCTTTCCACCCAAAATCATTAATTTTGTTCGATAGTATATTCTATAGAAGTGATCAAATATCGGCGGTTCTGAAATATGAGCAGCTTCTTGGGGAGAAAATGACGTGTACAAAATTTCAGACTGATATCTCAAAAACTGAAATATTAGTTCGCGAAAATACAGACAGACGGACGGACATGTATGGCTAATTGGACTTACATAGCTCGTTGAGCGGATCATTTATATATATTCCATATATGTATATGTGTATTTTATATCGTTTCTTCTGGACACAATTTTTGTCAAAATTATTATTACTCAGGAAATAAATATTATTAAAAAGCTTAACATTTATCTTACAGTACAATGAAATTTAATTCGGAATTTATTGTTGATTCTGAATTCCAAAAAAAAAAAAAACCCGAAATAAATTCTTTGTGCACTTTTACTCTGAAATGGGATTTCAGTTTTGTATAGAAGGTGAATAAAGTTCAAATTCAATTTTAGTAGCAAATGTTGACAAGCTCGCAAGTAGCACAGGGCAAAAGCGAATGTATATATGTACATTTATGCATGTACGACTACTTGTACAGAAATGCAAATGCAAAAGTGCAATGTCTGTAGTGGCTTGCCGCTTCAAGTATCCTCACACGTGTCTGTACACACATATGGATGCATTTCTGTGATGTCAATAAAAAACGGGAATAAAAATGGTATATTCGGGGGGCGAAATGAAAATCAACAAAATGGAAAATGGAAAAATTACAACAAGGACAAGAGTGGCAACAACAATCACAACAATTCAGTGTATATACAGACAAACATACATACATATATGTATATAAAGGCACAAGCATTTATACATATGTATATACATACGTATGCAGGTATGTTGTGCATACATAAATGCCTGTGGTATGTATCAACAACAAAATCAATGCCGAGTTTCAGCAGCTTGCTTCTAACATGCCCACAAATAACATAACAACTTATGCTTTACATCAACAACACATCCTCTACATTTTTTCTCGACGCCTTGAGGATCAAGCAGGCAGCATCAACAGCAAGCTAACACACAATAGTCACTGAACAGCCCTTAGTAGCAAGCACCAAAATCGACATCCTTGTAAGCACTGCTATTCATAAACTATGTTACATAATAGGCGCATAGCCTACTCGAGAGACATAGACATGTGTACATGCATATACACATACATACATATGTGCCTCCACGTGAAGTTGACGCACCGCTCCCCAACGCAGCACGCAATCAGATGCCTGACGCCGCATTTGTTGTGAAGCTTACGGTTGAGCTCCTTGCCATATATACATACATACATGTGTATGTAGTGGTATGTGAGAAAGCATCCTCATAAAAAGCCAAGTAACGCCAATGGCAATATATGGAGCTACAGTTGGTGGTGGTGGTGATACTGATGGAGCACCCTTGTGCGTGTCATCTATGGAAGGCGGTAAGTGATACGCCATTTATATGTACGCATTCAATATGTTTATGCTCTGAGCATACACACACTGTGCGCGCCAAAGAGTCTCATTACGCTTGGCTTTCCCACAGCAACAGTAACAGCTGTGCTCAATAACCAAGTGATGCCGCGCAAGTTGAAACCCCCCGCTATCGCTTACCACCTTTTAATTGGTYCTTTGTTTGGATATGTGTTGTGCGGCACAGCAGGCCTACAGAGAGTTTGAAAGCGGCTGTCAACACTAACCACCAACACAAGTGCGCCGAAGAACTCGGGTTTTTTCACACACTTACCTAAGGAGCATGTGGTGTAAGGAGTGTACTATAAAACGAATAACTGTATTCTTGCGAATTCTTTTAAAGATTATACAATATTTTAAACAACCAGCAAGAAGTTAAAAATGCGGTTTTGTTATTTAGTTTTGAGGTTTTAAGAAGAAATTAAACGCATATGATTTAAAGTTATGAAATAGAATTTAGCTTTACTATAAATAAAATTATGTTTCTGAAATAATTTCTTGGAAGTGARCGCTGCGACTGGCTCGAATAAATTCAGCCAAAACGCTCAATTTTCGACCACTTTTTACAGCAATTGGATTCAGATAGAGCGCTTTCGATAAATTGATTATTTCATTGACTGTATGGCACGTAGCGCTATTTTGTTGGAACCAAAGATCGTCCGCATCAACATCCTGCAATTCAGACACAAAAATGTCATTAATCATGTTTCCGTAGCGTTTGTCATTGACTGTAACATTATGGCTTGCTTTGTTTTTRAAGAAATATGMACCAATGATTCCCTCTAACGGCGTGCCMACAACGGCTTGTGGATTATCATCACTCAAAATGCGACAATTTTGTTTACTTACGTACCCATTATGTTTTGAGCCAAGTTACCGAATATGCGCCGTGCTTGATAACTTCAAATCTCGCACGAGTTGAATTTTGTAAACCAAAATTTTTTTAGCGAAAATGTATTTAATATTAATATTTTCTTTGATAAAACAAGTGGCTTTAAGTTCTCAGTTGAGCACTCCTTCGTACGACTCCAAAATCAAGGTTTAGAGACGGAAAATGCAGCGTTCGTTAAAGCAGAGGTACGCGATTAAATTCTGTGTAAAATTCAATGGCCCCGTACAAAAAGGGAAGAATGAGCAAATCCAAAGTAAAAGCGATGCTCATTGTCTTTTTTGACATCGTTCACCATGAATTTATTCCTCCTGGACAAACCGTCAACGCCAAGTTTTACGTCCGACAAGAAATCGCAGCCGATTGGAAGTTGCACCACGRCAATGCCATTACTCACACCACATTTCTTGTGATTTACTACTACAAAAAAAAAGATAATCTTAATGCTGATGCTATTAGAAAACATTTSACATAACTGTAAATTAAAATATCTTGTGTCAGGAAAAATTTGCAAAAAGACTGAAGACCCTACATTCAGAACACATATCAAAGACGTCGAAACAAACAAGATTCTCTAACAAACTAGCGAATGGCGGTCCAAAGATAATTGCGAACCGAAAAAACGGACACTTATAACAAGTGTATGAAGAGTTGGATTAATTGCGAGTATATTTGCATTGCCTCGGAAGCCTATTTTAAGGGCGATAATGAAAATTTCTAATAAAAAGCAGGAAAATGTTTTTTTTTAATTTGTATCAATCCGGTTCAAATTTGTTCAGTTGATATATTAGGTTGTCAAAAAAGTCTTGCGGTATTTTCGCTTGTTGACGCTGAGAGCGCGTAGTTCTAGTTTTACTCGTCGCATCGGGTCATGCTATACCTTTTTGGAAAGCTCATTTCACGCGCTAACACGTGTTTGATTGATTGTCGTTTCTTTTAAGTCGTTCGTGAGTTATAGCATCGCAAACATGGAGCAAAATAAAGAGAAAATCCGGCATATTTTACAGTACACCTACGACAAAGGCAAAAATGCATCTCAAGCCGCCAATAAAATTTGTGCAGTTTATGCACCCGATACAATTTCCATTTCCACCGCACAACGATGGTTTCAACGTTTTCGTTCTGGTGTAGAGGTGGTCGAAGTTGCACCACGCTCCGGAAGGCCTGTCGTCGAAAATTGCGATAAAATAGCTGAATTTGTCGAAAGAGACCAGCATAGTAGCAGCCGTAGCATCGGTCAAGAGCTGGACATGAGTCATCAAACCGTTATAAAATAAAAATAAAAATATAAAGAAAAAATACCGCAAGACTTTTTTGACAACCATATTTATTTCGACTCCGTGAATGAYTCACTGTTCCTCAACAGCGCAAAGCCAATTAACGCTTTCAACGCCTTTTCAGCACTTTTCCTAACTATTGCATAATAAACTTATATATATATACATATGTATTCTGCTTACGCAATGTAGATTATGCAACAATTGCCAACTAACAGTTTATGATAAAGCATCCTTTCGCCAACAATTCGTTGGTGGCTTATTTGTACTTGCTGCTGATAAGAAATATCTACGACTATACACCCGTTAGTCAAGTAAGCAGCCAAGCTAACAAAAAAGAAGAAACTATTCACGGCATAATAGCAAACTGTGTGTGTTGTGTAACCTGCAAGGGTTTCTCCAAGAAACTGTGCTACTTTTGTACTTGTGCTTGTTTTTGCTCCTCATCATCTTTCCTTGATGTCTSTGTGTGTGCTTGGGSTTTATTCATTTCACGCAGATTACTTAGATTAGCTGAAATTCACTTCAGAAATTTATGTGGCATCGCAGTAATTGTGCCGCCGCCGCTGCTGCCGCTGTACACTTTTCGTTGCCTACTGTTAGGCGTACGGCAGAATGGAGGGTTAAATTAGATTGCCCTTTAGCTGCCATGCTTTATTTGTTCTTTTATTAAATAGCTTAACTGGCTGRCAGACTGGCAGTGCGCGCAGTTCCAGTCGCCGACCAATTGTTGGTGCCTTTGTTCGCTCAGTCCATTCAATGTTGCCCGGCGTCGTAGATGCTTAACGTTGTTGCTTATGAATTGCCGCAAGTTGTTTTTTATTGCTAATAAGATTTTTTACATCATACACCCTGGCATGTGCCGCCCCATTCAACCCCGTCGTTTGTGTTGCTAGTGGAAATGCTCACTTGCATACCAAAATTTAACATATTTTTTCTTTTTGGTTGTGAGGTTTATGTTGCTTTTATTTATTTCTGCTGCACGCTATGTGCTATAAAWGAGCTATATAAATTTAGTGGGGCACAGCGCTGGATTAAAGTTACTGAACTTTTTTTGTTTCCTTTTTTTGTTGGTATCATTTTTGGTTTCCACCGTATTTTCTACCTCGGTATCAGAAACTATGCAAGGGTATTATAAATTTGTTCGCTGGCCAGTAGTTTTTAATAGTATCAACGAATTATAGTGAAAGCATAGAAGCAACAGCAGATACTCGTATGTTTTACCGAGTGCCGAGAACTTCTTTAAAATAAGTGACTTGGAGAAACTACGACTACTTGGTGCTTTTTCAAACATCCGCATCCAACTTCGCGTAAAATTCATTAKATGGACTTGAATCAGAATAATGTAATTTAGTTTTTCAACTTTTTTCATTAAATAACTACCATCTGATCAAATTCGACCCGGAGTGACATATAAAACAGCATTTTAGGAACTTTCTKCGATTCCAGAACCAATGCAAAAAATATTTCATACACTTGTTATTTGCCTCTGCTCACATTTGTAGCGGCCAGCACTAGATTATTTTTCCAGTTTGGAGGTCATATTCCTAAATCCTTATCGAGACACCAATAATAAAAAACTTCTACTCGACTTTGTTTTGGTAAAAGATTCAGGTCCTTTGTTATGAGTCTAGTACTCATACACTTTATATCCAAAACACAAACCAAAATATGTTGAGTCCGATCCATAAGATCTCCGATGCCAACAATAAGATTTTCAAGTACTGTTTCTTAACTTTATTCACACGAATATAATAAAGAGTGTGCCTATCTAGGAAAAAATGTTTTGTTTCGGTTCAGTTTACATGGACCAGTCCAGGTCAAATTTGATTTGATGTAGTATAACGTGCATATTATAATTAAATTATTTTTAAGTTGTAATTCTGCCGTCTATTTCTAAAAATGTTGCATATGTTTCCTTAAAGCATGTTCCACGCCGAACGGCTTTAGCCTTTCCTTACTTCTTTGCATTTGCGCTGTTTAACATAATTTTACTTTTCATTTGAAGTCATTGCAGTTATTTTATGCAATTAGATGAATTTGTYTTATTACATTTTTTTAATTTTAATTGGAATTTCCCTCAGTTCGTTAGTCAGTCATAAAGGCGCAACCAAATTGTGCACCAAAAATTTTATTTCTGATTTTGAGGGTAARAACAGTTAATGGCTTTGCAAATATTGTTACAAAATAATTGTGCAAATGCTTGAAAAGTATCAAAGAATTAACTGTCAAAAGAGTGTAACAAAATATCAAGTATTCTACAAACTTTAAACCACAAAATCATCATTATTCGTAAATACATCCCTATAACACGTTATATAGTCTTTTATAAGAGAGTCAGAGCACGTTAGTTATTAATTTATATTGAAWAAATTCTTCAAAAGCGAGATTCATAGCTTCTAAAGCACTTGTATACTGAAGAGCCAAAAGTAATTTAGGAAGGCTTGAAGCTAAGTAGCCTAACGAATGGGGTATAAGGGAATGGTTTTAATAGTTACGCCAATTGTGAAGTTGTTGGAAGGAAGATGTGAAACATCTGACCAAATTTTCTGGACTACCTAGCTTCGTTAGACTGATATGAACAAATCTTACCTAYCAGACCTTCCGTGAACCGTTTGAATCGGCTTCAAATAATATTAACCGCTTCAAGAAATTTGTCATAGACTCAAGGCTCTTTGTCGATACATAATACTTTGTGATACAAGGAGTCTTGACATCTCAATGCTCTGTGGCTTCAATTGCGATTTCTACAACACAAGATAATCACATCATCAAACTGTTTACTTCCTTAATTAATCCTTTATAGAGTAGAACATTTTGCTTAATAGATGAATATTGCTTGTTTACCAACCTGCGCTTGTATAGCCCTTACAGCAATTCAAGCCTTACATATGCGAAGAAACTTCAATCAAATATTGAGTTCTTTTGAAATTTTTTCGATACCTAACAAATTATTATTAATATTTTCGTGTGCATAAATGTCATCTATGTCCTTTGCGATTCTCCTTCACGTGTAATGTTTGCTCATATTTTCGCTAATTCGTTAAATGTCGATGTATTTGTGTATGTGGTTGAATGAAGAAGAATCCTAACCTAAACTTGTGTAAACGAATAATATTGGCGAATTGGAGTCGCAAATCAAATCGGTTTAAATTGAATTGTAACAAAGGAAAAATAAAGGCAATTACAAGAAACCGACTGCGTCAGGTTTACACATGTTTATATCTGTATGTGTGCGCGCTAAGAAACGATAGTGCAGTTAGTTACACAGTTTGTAAAGAATTTTCGGGATTTGCCAACAAATTTTGTTTTAAATCTTATCTGATTTTGGATTAARTTTAAAGCTTTGCTGCTGAAAATCCGTGAAGAAAACTTTTTTGGAACGGGAACACTTATGTAAATATCCAGTATAACTGTTTACTGTTTACGCTAGAAGTAATTTTCAAATTAACTCACATTCACAMACACTTTCACTCAGACAATTCCCTACGCAATTCGGAACTTTTAACAAAAAAAAAAAAACTCAAATTACAAAAAAAAATTAAATACGAAAATAAATACTGAAAACAATAAAGTGCCAACAATTTGTGTTATTCTTCAAACAAGCTGCTGACGGAATTAACACGCCACCGAGTGCAACAACAGCAAAGACTACGCGAATGGATGCGCCGCAAGAAGAAGCACAACGTTACATCAACGTTGCTTTGCGTGAAATCAACACCGGCAACTATGATAATGCCATTAAACTGCTTAGAAARGCAAAGGAGCTCTACCCCGATTCGCAGGCAGACGAGCTACAAGAGCTGCTAACCAAATTAAACGCCAGCGCTACAGCARCACAGCAGCAAAGCGCCGAAGGSGCTACCACCTCGGGTTATGCTGCCACTGCAAATGCAGCTTATGGCAGTGATTCACCCACACGCTTGCGTCAGCGTAACAGCAACAACAATGCCGCTGCAAGTGCTGCGCATGGCTACACCAGGGACCAACTCGATTTAGTGAAGCGCATAAATAAATGCAAGAATTTCTATCAGGTTTTGAATGTGTCGCGCACCGCCACAGATTCGGACATTAAACGCGCCTATAAGCGACTTGCATTGCAATTGCATCCGGACAAGAATCAGGCGCCTGGCGCTGCCGAAGCTTTCAAACTGCTAGCCAATGCAGTGGCAGTGCTTACCGATGAGCGGCGTCGCAAGGATTACGATGCATCCGGCGCAAATACATTGACGACACACGCAAGCAGCACGAATTTGGGTGCCAACCATCAGCACGAACACTACAACGGTGCTTATTTCCATGCTGGTAGCACTTTTGAATCGGCCTTCGGCGATGATATCACCGCAGAAGAGTTATTCAATATATTCTTTGGCAACTTTCCGCCACATGCACGCCCATCGCAAAGGCGCCCCTATCAGCCGGCTAATCAACGTCAACCGCAGGAGCGTAATCAACAACCAAGCTTGGCGTTTGGTTTGATTTTGGTGTTGATTTTGATTTCGATGTTTTCGTCATTCCTTACATCCGATCCATTTTACAGTTTGGTGCAGTCGAGGTGAGTTTTGTGTTTCCCGTTGTTTTACTCTTATTTTGCATTTGTGCATTGATTTTGTCGCTTTTTTATAATTCCTCTGTTTGGTTTCTTTTTTCGTGTAATTCTACATTTATTTGCTCCGAGTGTCCAAGCTTAAATACAATGCAAAATAGTAATTTGATAAAAAGCAAAGGTCTATAAATTGTTTAATAAAACCAGTTGGGTTTACGTAACCAAAAATTGATCTGGATCCTGTCAAAATCATATATTTGGTGTTATTCCTCATCTAATAGTTTGCTCCAAGAACAACTCCTAGCTTCTCAGACTAACTCCTAGTTTTTCGGCTCTTCTTGTGTCGACGGCGATCTTTTGCCGATTGCACATCGCAACTTTATTTATTTATCTAAAGAGACGATATAGTTTTCCTAAACCTTTGTCATTCCATTTTTCTTCTTGGTGCCCCAAAAACATTSCAGATTTGGAAATATTGTCCTGGTAAATTGCCTAAGGACCGCTTTTCGTCTTACCATCTGAGAGAATTTACATGTATTTTAACAAAAATCTTTTTTAYCGCCTTAACAATAGGCTCGGCTTTTTTTGAGCCATGTATGTCAACTCTTAATCCAGTTTTCCATTCACTTTTTATAAGCCTCGGCTTCAYTGCCTTGAGCGATTATCTCCATGAGTCTCTTGAGCATTACCCGAAGAGCACTTTCAGTTACGAAAACATAAAGCAGATAATACAGAGAGACGGCGCATCACTTTGGTGAAAAATGCATGAATCATTTCCAAGCCGCCTTTTTGACGGTTTACTCCGGTCAATGAAATTAAAGCATTTTGAAACGACAGAGTCGATTTAAACAGCATTTACCCTGGCTCTCAAGCCTATTCCGGAGAATGCCTTCGGTGACGCCTTCAATGTTTGGAAATCGCGCTGTCAGTGCTGCATCGACGGAAGGAGCCTCCAAAGAATTGTAACGATTGGTTCAATAAATTTTTTTTAAATCGACTCAGTCCCAATACTTTCCGGACAAACCSTGTACGAATCTCAGCTTATTGAATAATGTAGCTGCAACTACCCACCCTGTAATCGTAGGCATTCAGGTTTTTGTTTGCGCGGGATTTTGTTGTGAAAGTAAACACTATCTATAAATGGATTTGTGAAATCTGCACGCCGATGCATTCTCCCCTGAAGCAAGGCCAGCTGAGGCAGATGAAAAATACGAAAAAATGGAATTAAAAATTAATGCCACCACTAAGTTGCTGGCCAGCTGTCACCTGTCGCGCTTATTTCAGTAACGAGGCTTTCCCGCGCTCGTSAATATTCCATTTTGCATTCTGTTTAACCTGGGCACATACGATGGTAGGGATGTGCGTGTGTATGCCGCTCAAATTCCCTACCCTTGGCAGTGTATTTAATACGTTTTTGTTGTTGTTTTTTTCTTCATTCATTCATTCATTCATGAGTTTACATGTATCTTTCACCACTATAAGCAAGTAAAATTCGACTTACCACAATTTTCTTCGTCGCTTAAAAATACAATGAAAACAACCACTACTGCCACCATACATACAAACACATGTGTGCATATACGCTAATAGCAAATATCCCGTGCAACGTGAGACGCAACACCTCTCCGTGCCGTATTATGTAAAGACAAGCTTCAGCGGCGATTATCAGGGCTCATTGGGACGTTTAGAGAATTCCGTCGAGGAGGATTTCATCTATACGATGAAACAGAACTGTTATCGCGAGCGCAGCTACCGTAAGTAATCATAAATATTTATGGCCAACACAGAAAAATAGCAATAAAAAACAAACAACAAACTTTACCTCTACTTCTCGGTTATCGTCTGCCTGTGTTGGCTAACACCCTTCGTCATCCACTTACCGCGGCGACCAACTTTAACCTCACTTCCTCAATCACCGGATTTGCAACTTTCGCCTGTGTTGCTTGCTTGGTTGATACGTTGTGGTGGTTGCGGCGACTTTATGATTGCGCCACACATCGGCACGCAGGTGAAGGCATGATGGCACGTGCACGCAGTTATGGCAGCAGCATGAAGTTCGCACAGGCGCAAGCACTGAAAATGCCATCATGTGAGAAGCTATCGAAAATTGGCATAACACGCTATTCGCTTTACTAAGTGTGTGCGCAGTTGCTGACACCGGCGAGAGTATGGAGTATGGAATTGTAATGGCAACGTGCGGCAATCGCGTATAATAACTCGAATTAGAATTATTGGAGTTGATGAAATTACGCTTTTTGATTTTGAATGCGATCGAACTATTAGTGCATGTGTGCTCATAAAAATTATTGTGTGTCATATTAACAGTATTGGCTTAAGCCTGGTAACCCATGCGTATATATACATATATACATACATTCATGTATATCAATTTAATTATAGAAACATATAAATAAAAGAAAATAATTATCGAAGACTTGAACGGCTGTATATTAAGCCCTAAATTGTTATGTATTCATAAACTATCCTCTTCAAAATGTATGCGTCCATCAAACAGGAAAGCGTAGTTCATTTACCCGATATCGTTAAAACAATCTATTAAACACAAGTTGTCGTTTACGAGACTAAAAGTCATAGTATTAATACAATATGTAAGTGTCAATTCGATAAATTGGTGTAATTTGGAGAAGTTAATTGCAATAAATAAATGATAACTTCAACTTCTTTCAAAGTAGTTGCAAAAATGGCGTATTCTTTTTCCAGTGATTACTTGAGCAGTGAATTTAGGCCCACTATTTTATATTTATTAAATGCTATCAATGTTTGTTCATGCTTCTACCTTCCTCTTTCTCTTTTACACTTAATTTACGAGAGTCTGAATGAACGAAAAATATCACAAAAGCTTTGGCTTTAAATGATTTCTTAAAACTGATCAAGTTTTCCAAAATCGGTCGCCTGGTAATTTTCGTGCACCATRCCCTTCACTTTTGTAATATTTTCWTCAGTTGTAGAGGTCAAAGCTCATTCAGAACGAATCCTGTTTTCAACGATCTTTGAAGGCTTTATACCCCTCGTAGGCTTGTGTTTTTGATATAACCGTGCGTAGACGAAACTTGGTCTCCCTTTTGGATAAATCGTGCCGTTGACTAATTCGTTCTTGCGATTGCAGAATAATCAAGGAGAAGGCATGGTCGCAGAATCGACAGCATTCCAATATATCTGAATGTTTACACATAATTTGCTACTAGAAAAAGCTTTGCGCATGCTATTTAGTAATATGGTATTCAATATTATTATTGGTATACTACATATAGCCAAAGTTTTGCCGACATGAAACAAGCTCCAGACTGATACTAATCGCCACTTCGCATGAATACTCAAATCTGCTGATATCACAATACCTTACTACTTACTTTTTGAGTTCTTCCAGCTTGTTCGAGACTGATTGGCAAGTAAGTGATTTACGGAATCTCTCACATCCCCGCAACAGTTTAATTGAAATTTAAAGTCAACACTAGTTCATTGATCGATACTACGCATAGTCAAATTTCAATATCAAAGAGTGGACCAAAGCGCTTGTAGACGAAAATAGCCTCGGAGGTTACTAAACAACAGCGGCGACTGGGCGCGAAATTGACATTTTCCCGTATTGTTTTCACAGGCAGCCACAGGCAACGAGACGTAAGRAAAACAAAACGTTGCAACTGCAAACAAATAGGCGACCTAAAAACAAAAATAAAGAGTGGAAAATTGACTTACAAAAAATGTRAAAGTGAAATGCGGAACGATTTTGCAATGGACATCCATCGAGTATTGGAACAAAAGCAACGGTGGGGTATGCCATACTAGAGGCGCATGTTTGCGTTTATGGCATTTTCTTTTTGGGCAAAGGGACCAAGCAATTGTGTAATAAAAGGGTAAATCGTTTTTGTCTGCTTCTAGCTTTTTAATAAATTTAACACCATCACGCCTCGCAACGCAACCGGTCACAGTTCGCTACAAATGACTCAGTTCATTTCCACACGCACACACATACACACATGCATACAACATTGCTTACAAATGTATATTTATATTTACCTTTGTGCGAACACCACTACCATTGGCGTCTATTAGAGGGTCCTAATGATGGTTTGATAGCGAGAAACCAAGGACAATTGCAGAACACAAAGAGAAAAACAACATTGGGAATGGAAATGGAAAAGGAAAATAACCATTAAGTCCGACACTTCTATTCCCACAGCGCAGCAATTCGTTGACACAAAGTGAATGGATCACCCTTTCAGTTGGCCTAATAGGGTTGGCAASCAGGATAGATCACATTTGTGCCACGATTGTGTTTGTGTGTGTGTCTCTGCAAGCTTTTGCGTGCGTGTATTTGCATCAGGACTCCATATTAAATGTGTTTAAATAAAAGTTCAAGMAATATGGCAGTTTGACATGAGAAATCCAAATAAAAGCAAGAGAAAAGAGATTATATATGAAAATGAGGCAAATGACTTGGAAAGGAAATAAAAATGGGACGTGCAGTGGCGGCAAATGTATTCTAGATTAAGCTAAAAACAAGAAGATGAAGTAAACAAAAGCACGGAATGAAACTAGTGAGAGCGCGCTGCTATGAACTAGAAAAACAGCAAAGCATGAAAGAATATGAAGAATTGAACTCGAAATGTAACGGTGCACTAACTTAGATATTTATCTTAATAAAKACATACATATGCAATTATATACACACACATRCGCATGCATACATACATACATACATATMCATATGTAGAGGTATAWATAAAAGCAGGACTGCCGCTCCACTTCGCCAGCGACTGACTCCAAAATATTACGGACGCGTCGTGTAAATAAAGTGCAGCAATTGACTTTATGCTTTCAGCTCCTTCTCTGTTTTTGCTTACTTTATTTTTTACATATTTTTTATATTTATTCTGCTTTGCTTGTTGGAAATCTCCAGGCGTTTCACGTAGCCGCACAGCGTGCATTACGTAAACAAAGTTAAATTTACAAACCCAACAGTGAACGAATTCGAATCACTACGGTGGGTGTTGCTTTATATGTGTAGGCTGGTGTAGTTGACGTGAAGAATTTCTACTTATTGAAATTCGCTTGGATTTGATGCGACTCGCATTATGTGACTTTGCTCTTTATAATCTGAAGAGGGTACATAGAGTTTTCCAAGAAGTTTGTATATAAAGTATATACTTATTGAGCCATTTATATCGAACAAGTCCCCCAGTTTTTGTGATAACCATCTGAAATATTACATAAACTCTTTCTTTCCCAAGAAGTTGCTTGTTGAACCTTCGGTATCGGATTACTATAGGATTTAGGTACCTAGGTTAGGTTATGTCGTAGGTCTCAACCGCGCACCGAATGTGACAAAGGATCTCGATTGATCGACGAAATGTTTTTAGTATGTTTAGTCATTGACCTCAACAACCACGCCGTTTGTTCTGCTTTCTCTAGACTGGATAAGGAAACAATTGGATCTGGTACTSAGCGCGGGCAAGACAAAATATCTCCTATCATCAARCAAACTGTCGTGGAATTCGTACTTGGTTCCCACGTTACTGTTAACAGTCATAACTCCGAAGTCGTAGATAATTTCGTCTATCTTGGAACCAGCTTTAGCACCTACAACTACGTCAGCTTCGAAATCCTACGCAGAATAAGTCTTACCAACAGGTGCTACTTCGGACTGAGTAGGCAATTGAGAAGTAAAGTCCTCTTTCRTCGAACAAAGACCAAACTAATGAAAAAATCCAGCTCTGAGAGTATTAGACACTTTACCCGCCGAGGAAAGCAGAGGAAAAGGAAGACTTCCATTCCGTTGAAAAGACCAATTGCAATTGCCAAGCAGCGAAAAGGCAGAACAACTGGCGCACGCGATGTCTACTCCAATAAAARAAAGAATAATATCAATCGCAACAACTACGAACTAAGTTCCTGAGAGGAAGAGAAAGTTCCGGACAAACTTTGGTTGTTTACCAGCGACTGCCTAGCTTACGGGAGATCCATATATCCAACGCTAGAGCTCAAGAATACAGTAGCCATATAAACTGATCGTATATCCAATAATTTACCAAATAGGATCTTGTAGGAAATTTAATGTTCTACAAAAAATCCTCATAAGAAAAAACTTGCCTTAAAAATATACTTCGGCCGATTATATCTTTTATACAGTTAGGTAGATTTACGAAAAAATCGAAAAATTTTTCTTTTGTGGAAATTCTGTGAAGCGATATATWTTTTCAAGTAGTTGGAATTGAGATTTGAATACTATTTGAAGACTTTCCCATTGAAATTAAGAGCTCATATTAAAACAAGGGTCTCAGCATATTCAGAATATTTAGGAGAACGAACTTGATTCCTGTCGTGGAAGGCTTGTTGAAATTACGCTGCCAAACATAATGTAATTTTATACATATTTATTTTATTATTTACTTGGTATTTCTGCTTGTTTTACATACACAAAGAAATTTTCCAATTTTGYTTTAGTCAATAATAAATCACACTTTTTTAATTTTCTAAAATTTTTCACTGGGAAACCATTCTCACTTCTAAACGCCCCCACATTTACCCATATGCATATGTATGTATGTGTGTGTGTATGTTGGTAGACAAACGACATTTACTCCGCTCCGTTTGTCAACACTGGCGCAGCACACTCAAGTCGTTTGGCCATACTTAAGCAGGAAATTTGTATGCAGTCGGATGAACGAGGACATTTCAGCAGGCACAAACCAACAATTTGCCGTTTTTTCATCATGTGTATTGGTGTGTATGAGTGGAACAGTATATATACATATGTATATACGTATATGTGAATGTGATAATGGGCGGGCGGGCAAATGCAAACTAGCAGCAGATGAGCTGCGAGCTGCGAGGCGTCAATGCGCACAAATGAAATACAAAAGAGACTGCTGCTCCTACCGCTGCCTCTGTCGCTTTTGTTGTTGTTGATGTTGGTGGCACAATTTGTGAGTTCAGGCCGTTGGTGTGGCATGACCATACACAGACACTTATCAGACATATCGGCATAACTCGGGTGTATCAAGGGAATATGCCCACATATATTCACACATGCATATAAATGTATGTATGTGTGTGAATGCATGTGTGTATGTGAATATGTGTTAGTATAATTATACTTTTTTGTTTGGGCAAACTTKTCGCACATGCTTGTGGAAGAGTCCATCGGAGCGACTTCATGCTGATGATGTAAAATAATGTAAACAAATTCGGCCAAGCAGTCAAGGAATGCAGTCTCCTGGCGGACACGGATTAACTCTTATTCATATGTGCGTGCTCTGCAGGCCGCACACACACATACACATCAGGGATCTGCTTCCATTTGGGGTAGAATTGTGTTGTCTTTACTTACTGCTTATCGCAGTTTTAATGACTCGTTGAACTTTAGAAATGATTTTAAGGACTTAATTAGGGGATTAGACAACAAAAACTTTCCACAGCAAAATTAACATTAAATTGCTGAATACATATTTGCATATGGTATATGAGTAAGTAGAAGGAAGTAAACGTAGACTGAATATGGAAAACTATTCTGAGCGATGAAAATATTGTTGGAAAACACGCGTGTGTGCCATTTGTCAAGGAATAAATTATATACAGTTAAACTTCCCTAGTAGTCTTGACAAACGGGCAGCGTTAA